GGCGAGGAAGATCGTCGTGCAGTTCATTGTTGATATGTTCGTACAGCTGTTTGGCTTTCTGTAACAGGAGAGTGAGAAGACATTCACTAATAATCCTCGGATAAGTCCTTTGGAGGGTGGGGGGAACAGGGGAAGAATGTTGCGTACTGGGTTACCGTTCTGCGGTACTCACCTCGAGCTCCTCTCTCGCTTTGCTGAGCTTGACGTCGTCCTTCTTCTTGGCTGAATTTCTGAGCGCTTCGACATTGTGACGTGATTTGTCATAATCAACGAGCTTTCTCTCGCGTTTCTGGACTTTGTTCCTGGTTTCTTGGAATTGCATAATGTACGAGTTGATCGGGTTGAGAACATCGTTCATTTTACGGAAATAGTCGTCCCACAAGAGGTCCAGTGCCTGTAATTAATCACGACGTAGCAACAACAATTAGACGGAGTTCATACGAGCTACGTTAACATCAGTTCACGAATTCCGTGACCGAACGCTCTAGCGTCGAACGATCCCGATACGGGATCTCCTCTTTCCAGACCAGTCTAGACACTCCCTTACAGACCGCTTTCGGCTTTTCTGGGAAGAGTCTCACTAGGACAGGCTATGGAATGTGATTAAATGGCGTTCTGGCTATCGACTCCGACGGGAACAGCACTTCGCGGAGAAAACTCCCGACTCATATCATAGAACGGCCAGGACTTCAAACTTGTCAGATTTTGTTTGGATTGTGCTTTAACCATTTTCGGAATACCGTTCGTTCGCACGATCGATGAATAAACGAAATTTTCCAGATGGGAAAGCGCTAAGAACGCCGGCGCCGTGTCGCTCCGGAAGTGCGGGAAGGGCTCGCGTCCCGGATCACGCGCAGGGGACCAATTCCATTAATTGATCACTGATAAGATATACGGGAATTCGTTGCCACTGGAGTCGATTCAAGATCGAGAAGTACGTGAGGGAGACATCGCCGAAGACAGGTCTCGTTTACATGTCAACGCTAAACGCTAGCCCAACAGCTCGTAGTGTCTTTTCATCCGTCTACGACACACTGACCCCGCTGCAGGGACCTCTGACCTCTCCCGAACCAGAAAACGCTTTTTCTACAAAGTTCCTCATACTTCCATCTCCGTCGTTTTCTTCTCCGTCTAAATCTGTTTGTCAGGTGGGTCTACCTCGTATAACGGATCCACGATGACAAGTCGACGCTACTGGGAACCACTTGAGACCGATAACAAGTGGTAACTATCTGTCCAGTCGACCAAGAGTGAAATTCGTCTAGGAAGTCGTTCATTCGAATTGCCGGCCGATGCTA